AAAAAAAAACGTTGCTTTTAGGAGATGGACCATGACAAGAGAGCATTTTATCGATGGGCTGCTATGACTATGGAACCGTGGGATGGTCCGGGTAGGTGGATTTAGGAAACTTCACAAAAAACGATCTGTGCAAGACTTCTGCCAAGGAATAATTCTGATGTATTCCTGCAAAATCATCATAGTGTCACGATTATGTGGGCAAGAATTTTTGGTGCATACTAATTCCAGTGCTTTTAGCATTTCTAAGATGAAATTCCTTTATTATGATGTAATGGCAGATGCGTTTTAATTAGCCATAATAGATGTTATAAGCTTAGTAATAGATATTATAGGCTTATATCCCAGATGGCTTTTAAGCTTAATGGGTGAAAAAAAGTGGTTGGATTATAGAGCTTAGATCACTATCTAGAGCCCCGAACAAACAACTAAATTCGAGATTCTGTTCGAAACTGGCAATCTTGCGAGCTCTTAGCTCGTAGAAATCAAGCTTGTAGAAAGCTTTAGTGGCACGATTTCGATAGTTTCTGCGAATTGCAATGTGAGCAAACAAACCTAGATGGTTGCATATAGCAGAAATTTTTTAGATATTCTCTCATGCTCAGGAAATGTGAATGTGGAATTATAAGCGTTTCTAAAGTAGTTTACCCTGTTTTCTCACGTTTCATGTAAACAAATGCTGGGAAAGAGATAAATAAATAAAGAAAAATATAAAGGATACTTAGAAGTACTTCAATGGTGCAATATATGATAACGAAATTTGGAATTGACATTATTACTCAAACCAAATGACATTTACTCTTATTTACTTCAGCATTATTGGCGTTCTGTGATGGTCGCTATATTGGAGCAATTCTGGATCGAAATGGTCTTCGTCCAGCTCGCTATTATTTAACAGCTGACGACCACATTTACCTTTCGTCGGAAGTTGGGGTGAACGATCATGATGTCGAATCAGTCGTGAAAAAGGTGTGTGAAAGTCTTTGCTTAACTAAGATTTTATTCGCACACACCATCGAACAGAAAACGAGTGAAGGAGAGTGAGACCAGCCAGGAAATGGACATGTAAATCGTATCTATAGCATGATATTTCAAAAAAATAGAGTTAGGGATAAATGACCGCGCCGCCACCTCTTTGAGAAGGATGAAGAAGCTTTATCTTTCGTCGTCTAGCACATCTACATATCACCATCCGCACCACGTGAAGAGCTGAAACATATAAAAAACTATTTTTGCGTAAATAAGCTTTGTTAAGGAAGCTTTGTCTCAGTAGTAAGAAGTAACTTGCCAATACTAGGCTTTTAGCTGTATCACAAGCGGCAAATATGTCATTTTTGCAAATTAATGTAATAGAGCAGGCGCTAGCAAGTAATTGAGAAACAAGTGGGCAATAACTACATCAGTGAAAACGAGGAACTTACCCAAGCAACTCTACCGGGTAGTAGTCAGACGGAACAAATGGACGATATTGTACTGGATCAGCTCGTTTACCGAATCGCATCAGAATGCGATTTGGAGCGGCACTGACGATGGCGACGGCCAGAAGAAGGGTGTAGAATAGAACAAATACTGTACGTGCCGAAAACATTATACCTGAAAGAGAAAAAAGATTAGTGAATATGGTTTTGGGCATATGACGATAAATGAAAGCTTGGAACAGTGTCGAAAATTTCTTTGCGATTGGAGCTGAAGCAGT